GGTTAGGGGCGGGGCTAGGGGCGGGGTGGAGAGGCCCCACCCTCTCCTCGCACAGCCCTAGCAACACAAAGCCCTCTGGAAGGCCTTAGACACCAGTTTATTTCATCTAGTGACACAGGACACAGGGCACCAGAAAATTGGAAGGGGAACTGTGACTCAAAGTAGAAGAGCATTAGCCTTGGGAAAAAAGAGCTCAGAGACAGTGCCCACATGAGTTAAAGCTCCACGACCAAACAGAGGGACAGACAGACAAACAGAGAAATCCCGCATAACTCCATTCAGAAAATGTATCTGGATATCTAAGAGGTTTTTCCTATTCTTTCACAATTCACTACATAGTACCACATCATCCTGATCCGCATTTGGCTACCTGGAATCTATTTGGTGTTTTATAAATCATTCCACATGCTCCCATAGAACATGAACAGCCACACCCCCACTCACCAATGGGTTATTCTACAGTGAAGCCAATAATATCTCCATACCATCTCCACGGTCAGCTGCATCATCTTTTCAAGTATAGCTGTATATGGTTTCAATAATGCACACATGGACCACCCACAACTAAATCATTTGCATAAATATCAAATGCTTTCATTCATGAAGAAAAATATCTGCTTTGCTTTAACAAATATATTCGAAATGGTCCTTATCTCCAGAGCATTTTTGAAGAAAAAAAAAGGCAGAATGGAACCATGAAACTTGGAATATACGACTAGGAATTATCTCATTTAACTAAAAAGAAATAAGCCCTACCTTTAAACATATGGAAAACTCATTAAGCCATTGAGAAATGTGTGTAAACTGCATAGGTTCTTTGGCATGTCGGCACTGGGTCTTTAACTCAGTGCCTTAGCATTATTGCTGAGCTTTTCTGCTCAAGGCTAGTATCTACCCATTGAGCCAAACATCACTGGTCCATGAGACACATGGGATTAACATTCTAGGGTGTTTCACAAAAGAGAGTTACACAAAGTCTCAACAGAGGCTCATCTTAGTGACTCATTTTAGTGTTCAGGTTGAAGTAAGTAGAGATAGAAAAATACTACATGTCCTGATCCCCAGAGAGAAAAGACTCAGCCTTAGCATAGCAGCTGTTGTCTGCAGGCTTCTTTGCTGTTTTCTTATGCAGGTAGTGGGTCATGAATTTCCTGCTCTCACTTCACTTGTTCCTGCTCTTGGCTGGTGCTCTGCCACTTGAGCCTGACCCCAGTTCTTTCTTTTTGAGGGTTAATTAGAGATTATAACTTTCTAGTATGGAGAGCAATGAATCATTCAAACCCAGCATTGTGCCTATTTGACAAAATTGATGGCCAGGAGTTGATGTGTGAAGGTAAACTTCATTTTTTTCTTTTTCTTTTCTTTTCTTTTATTTGAGAACATACTGTACAGAGGGGTTACAATTACATGGGCAGCATAATGCATACATTTCTTACCAAGCATTGCAGCCTCCTCCTTTGTTTACCCTTCACTTCCCTTCCCAGCCTCTCCCCTCCCCCCCACCCAATCCTTCCCACCCTCCCCTGCCCCACACCGACATTGTAAAGCTAGTTCATTTTTTTCTATTTCATATCTGGACCTAATGTATAAGTCTGGCCTTTTTGCTTAAACTAATATATAATTTTCCCATTTCTATACATCTCTTTCCCCTTGGATTAAAGCTACCATTGCACACATTTCAGGTTTAGATGTCATTATCCTTTGTACCAGTAGTGGAGTTTGAACTCAGGGCCTTGAGCTTTTGCTTATTTCCTTGTTCAGTGCTTAAACATACAACTTGAGCCATGCTACAAGTTCCTAACTTTTGCTGACTCAGTGAATAAGTGTCTTTCATATTTGTCTATGGGGGCTGATTTGAACCTCCTTCCTGAGGAAGGACAGGGCAGTCTGGAAGATAGAATAATTGCGATGAGCCAGGACACCTGTCATGTCCTCTGAGTAAGTCCCTCTGAGTAAGTGCTCTTTCTTCTATTGATGATGGCTTTTACTTTTCAGTATACCTAATGCCTATGTATTTTGTCAAATACTTTTCCCCCACAGGAGCTATTCAATGTAATTTTCAGGTGAAATTTACTTACATATTTGCACAAAGCACAATGGGTGTGCATAAACACTTGAATTCACTGTTACAAGAAAGTCCCCTATAAATTACATTTAGTCTGACATTTGTCTCAATAGACAAAACAACTTTCAAGGACATCTGGTTTGCTATGTCCTAGAGCTTTAGTAGTGGCCTGAACACATCATGCAGGCATGGGCTGGGTTCCTTGGCCCTCACAGTGCACTGAACTCTTCCCTCTATAGCCAGTAAGTGCTCTTGGACAGCTCCAGGTCACTCTGTCTTTTGCCCTTACTCAGGAACCATGTGTCTGGGACATCAGATTGTACACGTAAAAAAAGCCAAAGTATTCAACATCCATAAATTTTACAACATAAACATATATCTTTAATAAATTGAGAAAAATAAAAAGAATGCAAATTTTACAACAATCAGGACAAAAAGAAAAAGAGAGATATCCCCAGGGAGAGGGGAGGGAAGCTCTAAGGCTAGGTCGGCTTCTAAGTTGCCTTCAAACATAAATTCTGCCTCAGAATCCTCCAAAGTATCTAGCTCCTCATGAAAGATAGGATTTGCTCCAGCAAAGGCTGGAGAGGCAGATTCTAATTTCTCAGTTGGAGATTGGTTCTGCTGCAGCAGGACAGATTTGTCCAGATGTTCAGTGAGGACAGATTCACTTTCCTGAGCTGCATCTAATGTTGGGACCTCACTCATTGGTTCCCCTGAGCACAGACTGGGGACATTTTCCATCAGTCCCACGTGTGCTACTCCCTCCAGCACGCCAGGAGGTGTGCTAATTTGACCCTTTTTGAGCTGATCTGGGCTGCCTGTGAAAGTTACAGGAAGACAATCGCTATTACTTTCTTCTTTCTTTGGGGTCCCTACAAGTTCAGCTCTGTTATATGTGGGGTTCAGAACCACTGTCTTATCCACAGGACTCACAACCTTTTGGGGCCTCACTGCAAATGCATTCAACCCCTCTACATGCACATGCATTGTGTAGTCCAGTGAGGGCTCCAGATCCCCATCCATCACCATCCTTGACATCACCGAGGGCTTCTTTCTTGGGAGGTCAGGAGAAGCTGCTCTATGGTGGCCAAAACCTGAGAAACAGAAATAGGTAAAGGAGTTTGGGAGTGGATTCTGGATGTTAAGGTGGAGTTCAATTTCCATGAGGCTCTAATGGAGGAAGCTGTACAAGTTTACTTTGGACTGAACACTGATGAGAAGGTAAGGTCTTTCCCAAGAGTGGCTAAGCGCAAGTGCTTTCACCAATAGAACCAACACTGCCTGGCAGATAGTATCATAAAAAGACATTCTTACAACCTGGGGGGTAATAAGGGCTCTCTGGCAATTAGGCTCATCATTAGAGGCCCAGGTGCCATCCCTACTCACAAGCTCTGAGGTGACCACACAGGGACTTCTTCCTCTGTTTCTTGGTCTCATTCTTCCTGCTCTCCTCCAGCTCATGCAGATGAACGTGGAGATTGAGGACCAGATCTGAGGAGGGCATGTGGAGCATGGCATAGTGGGTAAGTTCTTTCACCGGGTGTCGGTTCTGGGGCTCTCGGAAATCAGCAGGATAGCAGTCCATCCACATGGTGAAGATGGAACAAAGGCTGCTGTGGGCAGATTGGTGACAAGAAGAGTGAGTGTCTGCCCTCCCTATCCTGGGCCTCCTATAGCCCCTTTCTGCAAGGCTGCTATATGCACACTTGCATGCTGGGAAGCAGGAGGAGACTCCTGCAGGCAGAATGATCTTCACCACCCACGTCTAGAAGCTTCTGAAAGATAATTCTCCAATATTCTCACTGTGATAGGTCACAAGAAGGAACTGATTTTGAACACACAGCCCTCCCTGTCATCCCTGAGAGTCCACAACCACACCACAGCTGTGTCCTCTGCCACCACTCCAACCCGAACCCTCTGCCCCTAGTGGAAAGCACAATGATGTGCAAATGAGAAATCTGCACTTTGAATCAGAAGCCTCAAAGATACCATTTTGAATGAAGGGGCCTTTTCTTTGTGCCACAGTCCACTTACTTCTTTATTTGTTCATCTTCCTCAGAGTTATGGCCCGGGAATCTGTACCTATGGGAGGACAGGAGGAAGTCACCTCTCAGCTTCTCCTTTTCTGCCCACACAGGACACATATGGGATGGGCTCATTCCCAGATGGGTATGGAATCTGACACATAAATATGTAAGATACGGTTCAGTGAAAATTCTGCTAAGAGACTTATATGCATTGGTCCAAGGTAAATGTGACAGTGCTCATGCCTCTAATCCTAGCTAATCAGGAGCATGAGATCTCAGGTGCACAGTCTGATCAGACATTAGTCAGTAAAAGTCTAAGGACATTAATTTGTAAAAGGCCAGAATTGCACCTATGGTTCAAATGCTGTAGTGGTAGCTCTGAGCACCAAAGAAACAGCACCAAGACGCTGAGTTTAGGTTGAAGGACTGACACCCACACAAAAACATAAAAGCTTCAGGGGTTATAAATATGTAAAGCCAACATAATGCCTCCCTGAAATCTCTGAGTTGATTCAGCCTCCAGTTCACCCACCTCCCCACACCCCAGCCTTTCCTGGGTCTACATTATTCACAGACATCCAATTTGTGATGAAACCTTATTTACTCATGGGAAATGTGATTTCCTAGAACCTCACCTAGGGGAGGGCAGAAGTCGTGTGCCATGGGCACACGCCTGTAATCCTAGCCCCTCAGTAAGCAAGCTTCTGAGTTTCCAGGAGCTTTTCTGGGAAATGTCCTGGGCAGACCACTACTAAGAAACTACGCAGGGTATGCACTTTCTTGTCTCATGCCAAGCTCCTGTGAGAAGACCCCCATGAAATCAACAGGTTCAGAGGGGTGCCAAGTATTCCACAACTCAGCCAGGCATAGCTGAACCGTCCCGGTTATGAAGGGGGAACACTCACTTTTTGAACACAATATCCAGCACTTGCTCCATTGTTGCCCACTGTCTATAATGGTGGAGGAAGTTTCCAACATAGAAGAGATCGCCTTTCTGGTAGGCTGGGACCACGTTCATCACCAACATGTCCAGCAGGCTTGCCTCCGGGCTCCATATATCGCATGGCACATTCAGGGTCAGGGCTAACGTATTAGCACACTAAGGCGAGACAAAGAATCAGAAAAAAACCATGGAAATGAGAACACTTCCAAATGAGTAATTGTGATAGAGTAGATTGAAAACTATGCAGACAGTATTATCTCAGTAAACCTAAATCACATAAGAAGGTTCTACTGTGGACCAGGTTGGGGTTAAGTAGGTTTTCTATCATGAGTATACCTTGCCTGAGACGCCTTGTGATTTCCTAGGTTTCTTTTTGGACAAATCTCTGAGATGGTTGCTTCGTGGCTTGCCACTGATCCAGTGTCTACAGCTTTGACTGAGGCACCCATCCTTCTCTTGGCTGAGACCAGAGTCTCGAGACCTGCGAATACAGCACAAGAACATGTTTCTGGTTCCTGAGTCACAGGCCAAGTGAGCTGGCTTGAGCCAACTGTGAGTTACCGTGGCCTGCTATCAGGGTTCCATGTTCTATTCCATTGTGAAGGAGGCAGGGTCATCTGTCAGGCCCAATGACCTCTGCCGCTTCCTCACACAAGAAATATTCCCATCCACCCTATATTGCAATGTGTACATGTAGACAAGTTAACAGCACACCTTGTTTGTCCAATCCTAATCTGCTAGTCCTAGGTTCTGGCATGTTCTCTGCTTCCAGGAGTCACTCCTAGGTCACATTCATGGCATATCTGTCACTATTCCTCTTATCTGGCTCAAATTATTTTGGCTCTCAGGGCCTTCTGTGACTGCCACATCCTTCTAGCACATATTTTGACAGCAACATCCTAGGTCACTGTTTACTTTCTGTAGCCTAATCTGTTTGTCCTTGGAACCCCTCTCTGGTGTCATCTGGAGCCAATGCAAATGCTTAGAGATGGGAAATTGAAAGGAATATTGGAAAACATACATTACATATATAATCAGCCTTTATTACAGGTGTCTATTTGTTTGGCCATTTCTGTGTCTTCACTTCAGCCTGGGCACTCCCCGAGCTCTTTTGCTCAAGGCTAGCACTCTACCACGGAGCCACCTTGCCAGCCACAGGTGTCCATTTTTGTAAGTGAGAAAATTATTTTTTATACTTGAAATATTTCATGGAGGCAACCAGAGAAAGGAAGAGCTGCTGCATTGTCTTTTTATGATGACGAGGATTTGTTTTACTATAGCTTTGAAGGAATGTAGTATTTAAGGTAGAAAACTGCTCCTTTACGTCTTACAAGCTAATTGTTTATATAGTCATTTGCCTCTGAAGTCTTTGCTTCTGTGTCCCATGATCTATCCTCCTCCCTCAACACAAAAGGGAAGAATTTCACACATTGCTGAGCTGTTGTCCAGTCTCTGCATAGGAACTGAAAATACAATATTTACTGTGGAGTGTGTGTGTGTGTGTGTGTGTGTGTGTGTGCGCATTTCTGATCTTGGACCCTTTGCGCTATCCCTGAGCAATGTTCCTCAAAACTAGTGCTTTACCACGAGACACAGGTCCACTTTGAGCTTTTTGTAGTCAGCTGGAGATGAGAGATTCATGGAACTTTCCTACCCAGCATGGACATTGCTCCTCTTCAGCCTCATCGTTCCTCAACTGTAGCAATGGCTGTTCAGTTTCTGGATTTCCCATCCAAGCACAGACACAAGCCATCCTCCACTGCACATGTCTCTTTGTGTCCCTTGAGAGGCTCAAGTCTCTCTCGAAACTTAGTGCCCTGAGGATAGAACCTTTGAAACTCAGAACCAAGTTTCCTGATTAATTGGGATCACAGGCCTAAGCTATATATGAACAGCTCATTACCTGCCATCGCACATTTTTAGGGGGATAGGGGATTGTTTGTTGGGCTTGAACTCTGGCCCTGGACCCTGTCCCTCAGGTTTTCAGCTCAAAGCTAGGGCTTTACCACCTTGAGGCACAGTACCACTTCTGGTTTTCTGGTTGCTTATTGGGAGATCAGAGTCTCATGGATGTTCCTGCCTGGCTGACTTTCCGCTGTGATCCTCAGATCTCAGCCTCTCCAGTAGCTAAGATTATAGGCATGGGCCACCAGCGTCCAGCACATGACCCCTTTTTGCAACAGCATTTGGCGAATTTAACTATGTTGACTTGAGACAGATATACCTACACAATATATGGGAATCAATGGTATATCACTGAATTCCCAAATAATGTCTTTTACATTATTGTTTTGTGAAACAACATATTCGAGATCCATAATATCATATGCTAGTCCTCCTATAAAATACAAATACATGTATTATCATGTAGTATATGATATGATATATTTATATATATTATATTATATATAATATGTAAGTGATGTATATAGTGAACACAGAAAATAATACCAATTTTGGAATTTAGCCTTTCCTGTCACAATGTTACCCAAGTCTTCTGTTAGAAATACAGATTTTCCTCAACAATCTCCCTTGTTAGTCGTTTTTTAGTTCTTGAATAAATGAGTCTTCTTTACCACCAATAGTCTACACACAAAAATGATATGGATCAGTGTCTCTGGCTCAGGCCTGTATTCTTTGCTAGTCAGGAGGCTGAGATCTGAGGATCATGGTTCAAAACCAGCCAGGTCAGGAAATGCTATCAGATTATCTCCAGCTGTAGCTCAAAGTGGTAGAGTGCTAGCCTTGAGTGAAAGAACTCAGAGACAGTGGCCAGCTTTTAAGTTCAAGCACCACCATTCTGTACACATGCCCCCTACAAGCACACTCTTCACTCGGTCCCTTCTTAAATCCTCTGTCCTCTTCACTGAACTGGTGATTGCCAGAGTTTCTGGATTTCCCACTCCAGCATGCCAACCAGACATGTTCCCTCTGCACATGCACCTCTGCCACACTGCAGGGCCCAGGCCTCCTCTCAGAATCCACTGCCCTGGGATAGAGAGCAGATGAAATTCAAGGATTCTCAGAATGTGTGCTTCAAGACAGGGAGACTCAGAACTGTTCCTCACCTGGTATACAGAGACACATTGATCCATTTGTGTAGAACAATGCCAACATGGTTAGAATATAAGTTTTTGACTACCACAAACGACACCCTTTTCCAAATACTGTTAAATATTCCCTCAGATTTTCTTAAATGTTACATCAAAGTACATCTATTTACATGTTAGAGGTTGTAGCTTCTGATATAATGAACGGGAAAAGGCAGCCAAAATGACTTCTTACAGAGAAAAACGCCTAGCCCAAGTAAGCTAATATGTGCAGCAAGCTCATTTCCAGACCATTCTCCAAATGCAGGCATGAGTCTCTTATTGTGTCATCTTGATAACTTACAGTCCATATCCACCCTCATGCAGACTTAGAAAATCTTCATGGAAACCCAACGCAAGGAACATCTTAAGAACATAAAACAGCACCAAATATTTAATTCTAGCTTTAAACATTTATATGTTCTATATTTGCACAGTGCAGAATTGTTCATTGTTGGCAGAGAGCTTCAAACATCAACACATTTACCCGACTAGCTGGAAAGGGGAAGTTATCCCTAGAAAGAGGTGGGGGCTTGAGATTCAAGTGGGACCAGCTTTCAAAGACACCTGTTCTGATATAACACAGAGCTTTTGTGTCTCAGCATCAAGGATCCTATCTCAGCATAGGCTGCATCCTCCACTGCCTGCATTCCTTGTGGCTCCCTCTAGTCACCAGTTCCTTGTAAATCCAGCAGATTTGTTCCCCAGATCCAGCACACTCTGCTTCCTCCCAATCAGGCCCCATGTGCCCAGGATATTAGATTGGAGGTAGAAAAGACCAGAGTATTTTGTATTCAAGAATTTTACAACATCATGTAAACATGGACATTTTAATACTGTTAAAACAATAAATAGTAAAACAGGCAAATGCCCAGAGAGGAGGGAGGCAAGGTCTAACACACACACACAAAAAGATTCCCTGACTGGACACTGTGGATCATGCCTGTACTGCTAGCTAGTCAGGAGTCTAAATGGGAGGATCATGGCTCATAGCCATATCTGGCAAGAAAGTCCTCTTCTGTCCAATCAACCACCAGAAAACTGGAAGGGGAGCTGTGACTCTAAGTTGAAGAGCATTAGCCTTGTGCAAAAAAAGTTCAGAGACAGGTCCCACAACATGAGTTCAAGCTCCACAACAAAACAGAAGAGAGGAAGAGACACAGAGAGAAAGAGAGAGAGGGAGAGAGCGACAGAGAGACAGAGACAGAGGCTGAGGCAGAGGCAGAGACAGAGACAGACAGAGACAGAGACAGACAGAAACAGAGACAGAAAGATAAACACAAGAAAACAGCAGACAGGAAGACTGAGAAATCCCTTACCACTCCAATTAGAAAGTGAATATGCATATCAAAGATGTATTTCCTATTCTTCCACAATTCACTACATAGTACCACATCATCCTGATCCACATTTGGCTAACTAGAATCTATTTGGAGTTTCATAAATCATTCTACACGCTGCCATAGAACATGAACAGGCCCACACCTACTCATCAATGGTTTGTAAGTCTGGCCTTTTTGCTTAAATATGTAATTTTCCCATTCGTATGTTTTTCTGTTTCCATCGTTTAAAGCTACCATTGCCCACATTTCATGTCTAGATGTCTTCATCTTTTGTGCCAGTAGTGGAATTTGAACTCAGGACATTGAGCTCTTGCTTCCTTTTTGTTCCATTCTGAAACATGTAACTTCAGCCATGCTAGGACTTCTTGACTTTTGCTGGCTCATTGGATAAGTCTTTCAGATTTGTCTACAGGGGCTGATTTGAAGCTCCATCCTGAGGAAGTATAGAGCACTCTTGAAACTAGAATTATTGACATGGGCCAGGACACCTGGCATGTCTTTGTCCCTCTGACTAAGTTTTCTTTCTTCTATTGATGATGGCTTTTACCTATTTCCCATGTATTTTGTCAAATACTTTTCCCTCAAAGTAGCTTTTTGATGTTATTTTGAGGTGAAATGTTCTTACATATTTGCACAGAGCAAAATAGGGGTGCATACTGACTTGACTTCACTAATGGAAGAAAGTCCCCCATTTAGTACATTTAGTCTGACAGAACAACTTTCAAGGACATCTGGTTTGCTATGTCCTAGAGCTTTAGTAGTGGCCTGATCACCCCATGCAGGCATGGGCTGGGTTCGTTGCCCCTCACAGTGCACTGAACACTTCCCTCTATAGCCAGTTAGTGCTCTTGTACAGCTCCAGGTCACTCTGTCTTTTGCCCTTACTCAGGACACATGTGTCTGGGACATCAGAATGTACATTAAAGAACCCACAGTATTTAGGATCTATAAATTGTACAACATAAACATACATCTTAATGAATTTAGAAGAATAAAAAGAATGAACATTTTACAACAATCAGGACAAAAAGAAAAGAGAGATATCCCCAGGGAGAGGGGAGGGAAGCTCTAAGTCTAGGCCGGCTTCTAAGTTGCCTTCAGACATAAATTCTACCTCAGAATCCTCCAAGGGATCTACCTCCTCATGAAAGATAGGATTTGCTCCTGGAGTTGAGAGAGAGGCAGATTCTAATTTCTCAGTTGGAGATTGGCTCTCCTGCAGCAGGACAGATTTGTCCTGATGTTCTGTGAGGACAGATTCACTTTCCTGAGCTGCATCTAATGTTGGGACCTCACTCATTGGTTCCCCTGAACACAGACTGGGGACATTTTCCATCATCCCCACGTGTACTACTCCCTCCAGCACACCAGGAGGCGTGCTCATTTGACCCTTTTTGAGCTGATCTGGGCCGCCTGTGAAAGTCACAGGAAGACAATCACTATTACCTTCTTCTTTCTTTGGGGTCCCTACAGGTGCAGCTCTGTCACATACGGGGTTCAGAACCAGTGGCATATCCACAGGACTCACAACCCGTTGGGGCCTCACTGCAAATGCATCCAACCCCTCTACATGCACATGCTTTGTGGAGTCCAGCGAGGGCTCCAGATCTCCATCCATCACCATCCCTGACATCACCGAGGGCTTCTTTCTTGGGAGGTCAGGAGAAACTGCTCTATGGTGGCCAAAGCCTGAGAAAGAGAAATA